TAATGATGGCAAAAAATGTATTTAATGTGTTTTGCAGCATCTTCGGTCATTATGGCTTGTATCTTAGCCTGAATATTATCTACATTTTGGGACAATCACCATGCACCTATTTAGAGTGGTGTTCCTCTTACAGACTTCATTGATTTGATAGATGGACTGAAGGATTGCCTGTCCTTAGGTATTTAGAATAAGTTGTCATAAAGAATCTAGAATAAGCAGGTCAAAGCTGATGATCATGGGAATTCCTAAAACCTATTCTAAAATTCTATTACACAATCCCACTAAAACTGCACTTTTATGCACATAAAAACAGTCTGCTCACTATTCCATCTTCAGTAGAACTACTGGTAATGTTTAAAACCCGCCACATTTCAAATAAATCAAAACCCAGAACCCTAAATGAAACAATAGTGTTTTCTATTAATACAAATAATCTGATGGATGAGTGAAATGTCAAATTTCAAGATAGAACTGCAGTAATCAAACTGCCACAATTTATACTTGTCTTGAAAATAAAATCAGCAAGAGTATTTAAAAAAAAAGAGATTGTGCTGTAATATACCTGACCACAAAGCCAAGCATAGAGTGACAGGAGACTTCCTTCCCTTTATTTAGATAAGTAAGAAACAGCAAAGCTTTACTCATGGAGTTTTGCCAGGTTATTCCTAATCTTGGACTTCCTTTCCTACACACTATCTATTGTTAATATTACAAAGTCACAGTATAGGAAACAGGCGTTCTTATAAAAACTGGAACTGAAACAAATCACCATTCATACCTCTGAGTCTATGCACGGACACATTTCATAAATAGCACTAAATTTAAAACAGGTCTAATACATTTAACATTAAATTCAAAATATAATGTTAAGACAAAATCTTAGTTCAGTGGATTTTCTGTTAAATGAGAACTATAGGCCTAATCCAAAGTTCAGATACTGATTTTATTTATATATGTGTGTATCTAAACCAACTCCTTAGCTGTTTAAATGACAACAGTTTTCCCCATATAATTCAACTAATTAAGTAGCCAGTTAAAAGGTGAAAAAGTATTTGGTCTTGTACATTAAAAGTTTGCAAGAAAGTGTGGCAGGGACATGCAAAAGTACAAGAAAATAACATTTGTAGAAGAGTCTAAATACAGAGATGGGGAATTGATTAAAACGTGGATCAGAAACTTAAGCAATAGATTTTACAAAACGGACAGTGATCATACAAAGTTCATTCAAAAGGATTAAAAAAAAAAAACGAGGAGGAAGAAAAGCATTGCTTCTTGAGTTTACTCAATGCTTAAAAGAATATAAACATTTTACAACACCTAACAAATTACATCATCTCGAGTTTTAAGAATTGGGTGTGCTTTGCTAAGTAGCTTAGCAAATTAATTAGCAGATTCAAGAAACAATGTTTTACAGTGGTTGAAAACTGGAAGTTTTATTGTTTTCCATTTAAAATGGATGACAAATTTGGAAAAGATAAGGTGAAATACATTCCAAACTAAGTCTTGAGACTATGAACAATTCTTATCGGAAGACAAACACTGAAAATGATTGCGTAGCAAAACTACTCCTTTGTAGAGTATAAAAAACAAACTTTCTGCCCTCTGCTGTTTAGACCAGGAAAAAATTAACTGGGATACAAATCTGTTGAGAAGCATATAGGTAAGGGCTGAGCCTAACTCTGCTTTTAAGAAAATAATCTAGTTTATGCTTAAACTAGTTGGATTTTTAGTTGTTGTATGCAGTTGGACTCTGCACTGGCATGAAGTTTGCCTGAGTTTAGCGGTCTATCAAAAAGGTGCCAGGGAGCCATTCGCAAGTCGCTTACTTCCTAAATCCAAAAGTTACCTGACATGCCCAGGAAAGGCAGTTCTACAAAACAAAGTGAAATTTGCAGTAAAACAAAACATACAAAAGTTCTACAGTGAGGGTAACAGATTATGTTCCATACTTAAATAGATTTCTAACGATTAAATAGTAATACACTCAACTTCCTCACAGATCATTCAGAACCTAATTGATGTTTGTAAATTGCTTTATGAGTGAAATGCTGCACTGCCTACATATCAGTTACTTAACTTCTTAAGAAGAGAGTTGAAAGTAATTTTTTTCTGTTAGAAAATCAACCATCAGTTCTTCCAGACTTGCAAAAAAAACAGTAGAGAAATGGCCTCAAATTTAACTTTGCTTTTAGCGGCTAGATACCTGAGCAAGTTTTAAAAAGCCTATTAAAAATAAAATGGGTTAAAAGTAGCAACATTTTTTTTTTTAATAGCTTGTGAATAATGCTTTGTACTCTCCATGTCTTGTTCAAGGGTTTTTACAAAGCAATTGCAAATTCATGAGAGGAAACAAGTTATGTTAAATATAGCTTTATATGTCACCTTTAATTTTGGATAGAGTTTACATTAAAACTGAAAAATCCTGATCCACAACTGACGACTGACTTTACCACTATCTATGGGTTACTGAAGCAGATGCTTTTTCACTCTCCAGCTTCAGGTGCCCTACAAAGCAGCAGCTAGACAAATACCGTAATGCCAGCATTGGTAACTCAAATCAGTATGATATCAACAGCAGGAAGCGTCATTTGCTGTGCATTCGCATGAATCATCATGTTTGAGAGAACTCTGCTCTGTCTGCACATCCGTACTTCTGTCGTGGCAGCTGCCAAGCCCTTGGTAGCTGCCGTGTGTGGTATGAAGACAGGGAAAGGGGGAATTTGCAGAGCTGTAGAAAGACCCATTCCAGCCTCACATAAAGGCAAATCTACCTTTCTAATAATTAAGCTAACATCCCTGGCTGCTGAGAAGCTGCTTTTCCAGGCTCAGTACTTCTCCCCAGAACAAACTGAAAGGTACAGTTCAAAAGCAACATGCTTGGTGTAAAGGATCTTTCTCCTCACTTTTCTTCTTGAGTCTGTTCATGGATCACTGCCAGAGTTTGAGTTTCTCTAAACTTCACCCAGCTTCAGAGTTTAACCTTGACCATCCTCAATTCAGATCATTTTTTGTCAGAGGAAACAAGACCATTCAGTGTTGCAGTTTTTACTTCTACACTATTGTGATAAGCTTTTTTTAAAAAAAAGGGAATATGCAGGCTTTCTAAATGACATTCCGTATTCACAAAATCCGCTTTGAACTGTCCATTTTACCCATGACCACTGAGGGAAACCCTCCCCTCCCCTTCTAGCACGCGCTTCAGGACAGAACACACATGTAAATTGCCAGCACTTGCCATAATGCCAACGAACTCTACAGCAACTAGTTTTCTTTTTTTAAAAAGTTTAAAGAGACAGAAAAGTACACGTGTTCAGATTCATAGGGCAGTAGCGAGATAAAACACAAAAAGCTTCTAGGACTTCTATCAAAAACTTCTATTTTGCTGCCATGAGTTCTAGACTATGGCTATAGTGAGATGGAATAAAAGAGAAAACACTGGCCTACACATAGGCTGTTATTGTATTTCACCTCAAAATGTAGGCCAACTACATAAAAAAATACTAGTCAGAAATCCCAAGCAGTAACATTTGATCATATTTAATTACCACTTACTATACGTGACAAAAATTCTATGATTCTATGAAAAAAGTCCCTGCATACAGATGGTAAATGAAACACATTGCCGATTCATATATGGGAAGGGAAATTAAGTTTGTTCACACCATTGCCACACTATATAAAGCAATTAGAGAATAAGCAACTCTATATTCTAGAAAACTGACTTTTTTTTTTAAGTGGCAGTAAGTGTTATTGATCAATGCACTTCTGCCATGCAAGTTTCATTTGAAATAGTACCTCTCAAAGGTACAAAAAAATTCAAAACAATAAGAAAATAATGCATTTGTGTGTAGGAACCCAATCGATACAGAAATTCATGCTGTTGCTATGAAAGACAGTAAATACACAGTTATTGCCAGAATCTGTATGTTAAGGTTCTCTCTTGCCTATCTGTCCTCTCCAATATACTTTAAGGGCTTCATGATGCACCCTCACTAGTGACAGTAAAACATTAATTAGTAAAACTATTTAACCTTATTCACAAAAGCTACAAAATATTGCATCAGAATACAATTGAAAACTGACTTTTGACATAACCCTTGTTAGACATTTTTCTTAAAAATGGAAAAGCATCATTTATATTGCAATACTTCGCTAGTCTTTCCTTTATAAGCACACTATCCATGCATCACAACATGAAGATCAGATTTAGCAGAAGCTAACGCTATTCTTAATCTGCCTCCTAGCCCCTGGTTCCACTTTTGCCATTTTTCACATCACCTTTACATACAGAAATAATCAGTATGCTACTTATGTTTAGGCCGCTGAGTTTTCTACGGTAACTGCTACCTGCAGAAAGCATGAGACTGCCTAGCAGGGGTTATAGCTATCTTTGTTAAAATGGAAGCGTTAGCTTGATTATAGTTTATTTCATTATCTAAGAAGGGTCAAAAAGCAGTGTAACACCCAGCCTCTGAGCTGACTGAATCCTTTGGAGGAAGAGGGCAGTAGTCCCACGTGTACTCTTATACATACATGAGTCTAGATGGAAGAAACATTCCTGTAAAGTATCATTCCCAGCAGTATAGTTTCGTTTTGTTTTTTTTAAATTCCAGAACAGAAGCAAAACCAAGGGAAAAAACTACTTGATAAATGTAAAAAAAAAAAAACGTGCAGCTTCATATAATATTGAGACAGCTCTACTTTATGTAGGAAAGCTCTTCAAGTAGAACTATACTAATTTAGAGCTCAAGAAATTCTCAGCGTAGCATACTGAATTTCTACATTTGCAAGTAAAGCAAAACCAATCGCCTATCTCGTATCAGACAGGTGTGTAAAGTTAGCACCTACAGACATTCAGGCTATAATTACCAGCTCAAGATCCTGGCACAGGAAAGCATTTCATCTGATCCAGATGTTTATTTCTCCTCAAAATGTATTTGTGAACATTGTTTTTAGGTGTTTCACAAACCGCTTAGTAAGACAACAGCCACAAATCAATACTATTTCATGTTGCGCACTATTCTCCTGCAATGGTTTGTTTTCATTTCCCCCAACGCTTGTTCCAGTTGCTGAATTAGGTGGAGGAGGGTAGAAGGGTCGGTTTGCAACACCTGGGCAGTTTGATCTTCATTCTGATTGAGATGTAGCTTTAGAGTCACAGCAGGCTTAATCTGTTGTCTCAAACTTCTGCTTGCAAGCTGCATGAGGGAGTTTAGATGCAATGGGAATAAGGAAACAAACAAACAAACTAGAGATGGTTATCAACTTTCATATTTACAACTCACAACAGGTTTGCAGGACCTGCTTGGAAGACTGTTTAAAAATCCTTTTCATCCACATTAAAGATATACACAATCTTATTTAGTTTTATCACTAGGCAATAGTAATCCACTTTAATCAATGCTTTCATAATATTTCTGCAAATCAGGTGAGAATATATTTAGTATATGCTAACATTTTAAAAACACCAATGGAGCCGTGAATTCACTTTTCATAAAGCAACAAATACTTTGCATCGTTACATATCCTGTTCATCTCATAACTCTCTTTGGTGCAATTACAAAATTATGTCAGTTTTAAATACATGAAAAACTGCTGCCTCGATGATTTTGAAATAATATAAATTCATTGTTTAGTAGTGGCTTATGATGTTAAAAAAATGTAAAGTAAAATACAGAATACTGAAGACAAAATGAAAGTTACCTGCACATCCAGTCTCCATTCAAGACTGTGATAGCTGGGAAGCTTTGGTGCCAGCTCACTAAGAATGCTTCTGATCTCCTTCCTGTTATCAAGGTACAGCTGGAGCAATAATTTGTTCAATTCATCTGAGAATCCCAGAACATCAATGGAATCTTGGAAGTCTATCTCAGAAATCTAGAAATAACAATTTAGACCTTAATATGGAAGTGTGTATTAACAGTTATTTGTTGAGAAACAAGTAAGACTGTAAGTGAACATTACATACGGCATGGTGCAGTTATTTTCTTGAGAATGCGTGAGAACAATTCTACAACTAGGACAAAACAAATCATCCAGGTTTTAAGTGATCTACACATGTTGATGTATTACTGCTGATTTGCATGAGCTTCAGGAACAGTTTTAGACCATTTTTTTTAAAAAGAAAAACATTCAACATCCTCACATTTAAGCCTTCATATCAGAGAACAGAACGCAACACAAAAACGCATCTGAGCTTTGCCGTGAGGAAGGAGATATTTCAATCATCAGTTTATCAACAGTATGTTAGCACAATATTGCTACTCAAATTATAAATACTCTGAAATGATCTGAATGTCGGGACGCGTAAGCGAGCACCAGCTACAACTTCACGGCTCACGTTACAGTAACCCAGAAGCCAACTCCCACAGGTCAATGCCTTTGTGCTGAACTGAAGCAGCTTGCTTCATCCTTGTGGAAGCGGTTATTTATTCAACAGAAAGTGTCACACTTTTACAACACATTCATACTGTAAACACATTCTGTGATCAACTATGCTCTACCATAATACACTATCATTTATCTGTCAGTCAAATAACCTTACTTCAAGGGAAGATTCTGCAATATTTCAATCCCTTCCCCACCTGCTCTTCAGAACAATGCCTGCTTGAGTTTAATTTGGAATTACTTGTCTCTGTATCCCTTTTCCTTGTCTTCATTGTTCAAATATTCTACTATATCAACAGTAAAAAGTCTTCCAATGGAAACAATAATTATCCAACTATTATTCTTTTATTATCTGCTTACACCCACCCAAACTTCTGATGTCAGGAGCTGAAAAAGCTCTCAAATCTACCATATCAGGCAAACACAAGGAACACTTAACAAGGGGTTAGTACAGCACACATCCCGCACAGTAGCTGAACAACAACAACAAAACGTTCACTCAAGTTTTGTTACTTAGACAGAGCTTAATCCTGAAGCATGCTTCTCTGTACGGACTAAATTACTGCATGTTCTTGCTATACACTATTAAAATGTCAAAGTTTTAGCTTCAGACACTGAATACAAATTCCAGAGTCATCCACAGGGATGCAGTGTTTCAAAAAGAGAACAGCATAAGAGACATCTTTTTTTTTTAATTAAAAGAATACATTTCATCAGAATTTTGAACTAGGTTTTCTCCATTCATCAGTATTTTCAGAGCTACAAGTGTTTAGAAGACATCTCTTGAGTGTATCCCTGAATTCATTTCACAAAGGTATCCTTACCATAAGCTTGGAGCTTTCAGTAAGAAGAAACGTTAGTCCTTCTACCCCATGCTGAATGGTGTCAACACCAATGTTAAGTTTTCCTTTAAAGAAAGCACAAAGTACCTTTTACTTCCTTATTAAGCTGCCACAGCAACAATACACAAAACTGCAAGTTTATCCACAGCTGACTTGCAAAATATACAGAGAAAAGAAAAAAAGAGGGTTGCGCACCCTTCAAATAATAACGTAAGGGGATCCCCCACCCAAAACAAACAAAGCAAAAAAAGCCCAAGGAAAACCCGAACTAATTTCTTAAGGCACGATATAGAAAAACCGCACGCTCACGTGCTAGGACTACGGCGCGAACGCAGTGGCACAGAAATGAGCAACTTGCAGGTTTCGTCCCCGCAAAGGAGGGCCCCGCAGGCACCCCGCACAACCCGACACCCCCCGTGCCACAGCAGCGGCTGACCACAGGCACCGCTCCCCTCCGACGGCTGCGGGGCAGGCCCGGGGCCTCGGCGGGCCCCCCCCCGAGGAGCGGAGGGCGGC